TGTGTGTATCTCTGTGTGTATCTGTGTGTGTGTGTGTGTGTGTGTGTGTGTGTGTGTGTATCTCTGTGTATTTTACTGTATTAGATGACCTTTTTCAGATGTTTCAACTTTTAGAACAAAAGATCATTTCTAAATGTTAGTGTTTTCTGATTAAACTACATTCTGCTTTGTGATCCTACATGATTACATTAATGAGCATTGCATTCATTTATAATGTTGTTATTGTGGTATTATTGACAGCCTGTTAGAACACAATTGATTTGGTTATTGTGGGAGTTGCACAAAACGCAAAGTGTGAGTGTGCATATGTGACTGTTCCTGTGTGTTCCACACACTGGAAGTCTTACTCCAATAGGATTGAGGGTTAGTCTGGGTCAAGCCAATTAGAGGTCTGGCACACTGTTCTCACACAAATACCAGTTGCCAGTACATGCGTCAAAAGCACAATTCTTTTGTGTGTAAATGTGTGTGTTGACATAGTTTGGGAACACTCCTAATATTTACACACAGATTCCACACTGTCAGCTACAGCCCTGATTCAAGTTTTAAACCAAAAAAAAATGTGCGATTCAGATTATAGCTGCAATTTCACCTGTCAGGTACTGTCAGTGTCTTTGCAGTGGGATCACAATGAAACAACATTTCTCTGGTGAAGTTTGTACCGTTGCTTTATGTATCGTGAGAATCAGAAATGTGTGTTGTGGAGTAAACACATGTTTTTCCTTTTTTTAACCCACACAAAACCGCACACAGCAGAAGCGGCCCAGTTTTGTTTCACACCTGTAGTCTAAGATCACATGACCACTTCCACAGGATATTTGACCTCCAACCATGGTAATGAGATTTATGCACTCACACTATCTCTCTCTCACACACACACTTTTATTTTTTAACATCATTACTCCAGTTATATTTCAACGTTAAAAGCTAAAATTTTAAACTTGTTGTTTTCTTTATTTTTTTATTCAGTATTTATTTGTTCAAAACAACATTTATTATAAAGTGGACATCATATTTCTTTCTTTCTTTTCTTCTTTTGTCAAATCCAGCCTTGGCTAAATTAGAAGAAAATCTCTTGAGTGTTTATTTATTTATTTATTTATATTTTATTTTATTTTATTTTGTTTTTTTCAATCTGCCATTTGCAGTGGACAGCAACAATATTACACTTTTTTTTTATTTAGGCCATCAAACCATCAGAATGTGATTAATGTCAAGCAGCTAGGATGTACACACACATGCACACGTGCACACGCACACGCACAGACACACATCATTGTATACTGAGTCCAATGTAATCATAATGATAAAGCAGATTGCCTTAACACACAGATGGGCCTCCCAACAGCTTGTGTGTCTGTGTTTGTGTGGTGTGTGTGTGTTAGTGTAGACAACACTGATTGGATTGCAGATTTATAGAAGAGGATTACTGCAGGAGCAGGGAGAGAACGAGGGAGAGAGAAAGAGAGAGGGTTTCAGACACTCACCTCTCATTAACTTCCACCCCGATCACCTCAGCTTGCCTTCTTCTCAAATATGGACGCTCTCGTGTGCGCACTCAGGAAAGTACGCAGGTCAAATTGGATGTAAATGCAGCACTTAGATTTTTCACTCTGCTGTAAACAGAAATAAAACATCGCTTTAGGAACCTGGAGGTCTTTTAATTTTGATAAAAACATTGGAAAAGTAAGGAAGAATGTGAAAGAGTTGTGTACCGATACAACTTGATGTGCAGCAGGAAGTGCAGAGGAAAGACAGAAATATGTTTTTGTCACAAAAATGTATTCACAGCAGACTGACCTGGGAAGTGAGTAAGTAGCGGACGAGAGAAAGTGAAAAAAAGTTAGGTTTGACAGTCAAAGACTGAATACGAAACCCAGCGAAGAACACAGGCAGAGGCAGACAGAGCGACAGAGATGGGCAGAGACACTGGGCTCTCCAGAAAACCTGATTATGACTGGATGTGAATTAGATTCCCTAACAGATGGTCCAGGAGCGAGGCTGAAAGGTGCATCAGCCAGCAGCGAGGGGAGGGAGGAGGAGATGGGAGGGAGGGAGGGAGGTGGGGGGAAACTGAGGAGACAAGTGTCAACAGCAGCTTGTGGCGGGGTGAAAATGTGCAAAAATGTTTAGATTTGAAGCAGACTGAATGTTGCTTTTACACTATTAACACATTGAACTAAGTGTTGTGGGGAGATGTTAGGTGAGATAGAAATCATAATCTGCAACTTTTACTGTCTTTGTGACACATAGAAGCTACCAGTGTGCACAATTAAGAGAAAAGAAGAAAAACAATCATATCTAAAACTATTATATGTTGTTGGGGGGTGGGGGATATTGTATATTTCATGTAGCTCAATTTTATACCACAATCAATTAACTATGTTACCTTCTATTGTTATGAAAATGCTGGATATATCAAAAATAAATTTGACTTTGCATCATAGTCTAAAGTCTGAAGTCTTGCGATTGGCTTCTGCCTCTTTAATGGGGTGATATTATGTGCTTTCCAAGCCTACATTTCAATTTTCTACTAAAATAAAGTGCGTATGTCACGTTTTCAGCTTATGAAAGATATATATATTTGTAAAAATCCCCAAAACAATTTACTTCTCTTCTTGACAGTTTCTAAACATCTTGAAATAGGTCTCTGTCTCTTTAAGAAAATCCAACCACTTCGGTCACGCCCATTTCAGCACATCACCACAACAGTTTCATGCGGCCACTTTCAACCAGTATTAGGAGCACTTTTGTACTTATAACTGTTGTTTCTTTACCTGTGTCGCTACTGTCTAAGAGCAGACGTGCAGTTTCTCATGGTGTTTGCTAATTGTTGCTGCCGTAGCCTGCCGGAGTCACGAAGCGGGTGGGAGGGGGGGTCGGGGGGGGTGCTCTGCCATGAGGAAGTTCGGCTTAAAGACACGTCCCAGGGGTGTTTCTGGTCTCAAAAGGCGTTTCTGGTCCCCACCTGTCGTTTTGCTCCTCAGCATGTCTTCCTAAAAACACTGCAGGATTTCTCAAACATGCACGAATGAGTCAAAGCAAGGCTTTGGACATGTTTTTATTAGAGTATAACATTATAACATGATATAAAACTCAAAAAATTGATTTTACATGATATCGCC